TTGGATTATCGTTATCAGAAAACCTTCAACATATGTCTTTATTATTAAGACTATCACCAGAAGATTATCAGAGCGGGAGCTCAGGATGCAGTGCTCGAGTTGTAGCTGCTGTTAGACAGATGAGAAATCTAACGTTTTCTGGTTAAATAGTGTAAAAGTGATTCAGTAAATCGTAAAACATACCAATTGTATTAATTATAATTTTGTAATTTATTAACATCGCTTATAAAACTAAACGTAGATTAGTAACACGTTGCAACATAAAAAGTAATTTTATCCATAATATGTAAACAAAAAATATATTTTTCACTTTAAAAATAGTATGTCTTTTGGTATTTAATATAATACTACTACAAGTTTTGTACTTTTTCACTTATGCAAAAATACTCAACATGATATAAAAATATATATAAAACTGTAGGTACTCTCTTTGACTTTATAAAAGAAAAATGCAAAGGAGATACATGTGTTATTGCTAAGTTTTATAAAATGGAGCTTACGGGAAAAAGTGTAAAAATAATTAAATATAATTTAATCTTGATCTATGTAAATACTTAAGTACGACAGATGGTAGTCAAGTTAATGTTTCAATATTGCATTTGTAATTATGTTCAACGCAGATTTCAAAGATCTGAAAAGGCGAGATTAGTCTCTTAGATTATAACTTACTTAATATTTTTGAGAAAACTAGAAAATCTGTAATACCTGTCTAAGGCACCATTATACGATTGTTTTCGGATTCGTTGTTTGGTTGCCACCGTCAGATTCTTAAGTCCATTAATGAATTTTTTGTCAGTCGATGAAAGCATTTTATACATTATTAAAAGAGCGGAAAACATATCAGTCTGTAACACATTTCACGCATGAAGCATCTCTAAATGGAAGAACACTTTTACGTTAGAAGAAACGTACTTACTTCTGTGTAATTCGTTATTGTCTTCGACAATACTTGTATACACACTTTTTGATATTTTACTGTACTTAAGATTATTCTCACTATTCTCTTCGCTAGGTAAGGAAGTTGGATGAATAAAATGTTAGCTTTTTTAATGCGTGAGTATTCCAGCACGGGCGTCATCATTGTAGTTATATTACTGACTGCAGTGTTGAGCAAGGTAGACATGTATGAAATATGTAATGCATGGTTGCTCGTCACTGAGAAATACTTATTCGTCAGTTCATGCAATACTTTCAAGCTCTGTAATTAATAATTTCAATAGTAAAAAAGTTTATCTACTATCGTTATTCTGAAAATGAGTCAGAACTTACATCTATGTACATAGGTAATATATCTTTGCTGTATCTGTTTAACGCGGTCAATGTGACACTTATAAAATTTGGTACAACGATTCCTAGCAGACTTGTCTCTCCATTTTCGTAGGCCATTTTACTAAATTCTAGTAACACAAACATTCCGTCAAACGCATCCTTAAGAAAGACTACACCACTTGCTAAAGTCAAAAAATGGCAATACAAAAGTACGATATCACAGCACAATTTTGGGGTACTATTGTAATCTTTCATTAGCGAGTTGAATGCGTGGAAGATACTTCTTACTATGTTTATACAAATTTGATGATCTTGTAAGTTTCTGACGTCTATAGACAATATGTGCGGTTCGATTATCCTAAAGATAAAAGAGGTCAGACATGTATCAACAATAATGGTAGGAAAAAAAAACGTAATTCATTTATCTACCTTTTGACCCACGACAAAATTTCTGTCAAATGTTTCGTCGCATCGAATACATCTTTCTTATGTAATATCGAGATCATCGATACATATTCTTTAAAAATTTGGTTAATTGTATCTTTGACTATCGGACTACGTATATTGCACTTATTATCCAATTCATTTTCTATAAAGGTTCTTATAATGTATAAAGCCTTCCAAAATTCAACCAGATCATTATGATATTTATGCATTAAAACTGGTTTATATTCAGCATGCAGTAAGTGTCTTAAAATACGTAGACTTAATTCTAAACCGTTTTCATTAACTTGGAAAATCTCTGTATCACTATCAGTTTCCTGTAGTAAATATTTAATTTTGTATTTAATTGTCAATATGTTTATGAAATTATATTTTACCTCATCTTGTTCGGTCATTCGTAAAGATGTTGTAAGAAGAGTTGTTAACGCAGATAAAACTATATCGCTTTTGTTCCATTTAGTAAAAACATATATCAGTGCAAGAAGTACATCGTCAGAATTATTGAAATCACACAGTTCATGTATTAACATCTCCATCATGTCAAAGTTATTATCGAAATAAGTTGAAGGTATTGTAGAAAATAGAACCATTACCGATCCCTTTAATGGCGACTCCTGAAAAAAATTTCTTGTTCAATGAAATTATTTATCATATGTTACCAATGTTTACCTTAAAAAAAATAAAGATTTCTGGTAATGCTTCCACGATTGTTTTCAAAATCTTCTCATTCTTACTATAAAATTCTTGTCTCTCTGCATTTGCTTCCATTAATGTAGCCATAACGTCGATGTATATCTGTATCTTTTCGTGATCAACGTCCCCTCTTTCATCCTCTGAGGAATCTATTAAAATAAGTAATAAAATAAATTGCATATTATCTAAATCATATAAATTATTACCACTGTCAGAACTGTTGTCTCCACTGCTGTCTGTTTTCGTTCTCGTACTGCGAAGTCTATATACACGGTTCATTTCTTTCTTTATCAAGAATAGTAAAGTTTCAATAAGTTTTACAGAAGTTCTATAGTCTACAATAGATTTGGAATGCAAACAGAATCGTCTAATGGCATTTATATTGCTTGTGCCCGCATGCACTATCTCATCTTTTATTTCATCTTGCATATTATCCGACGATATGCGCAGCCAAACTAGTTTTATTAATTCTCGCAACAAAAATGAGTCCTCCGTAGTCTAAAAACATAAAATGTTACATTTAATATTATGTATAATTTTAAATATTTGTTATTTGGGCACATATATACCTCCAAGCGATTGAAAATATAGTCCATAGGAACTATTTTCCAAAACGGTATTTCAAGTTCGTCTTGTGCATGCCACAAAAATTTAATTAACGCTTTTAATACCACTTTCTCTTCGTCGTAAATGCTGAGCATGAAATTCGGCAAAAAATCTTCAAGCAGCATATGAGGATCATCTCTGATCATAATCTTTCTTAAACCGATGAACACGTTAGCTCTAATTTCGGGATTACTGGCACTTTTTGTATAAGACAAGAGAATGCCTAACCAATTTTGAATCATAGTGTTTGGAATACAACTCCAGTATTGTTTTAACATTTCAAACATACCCTGAACATATGGAAATCTATCGTGAAACATTGAAAATTGTTGTAATATGTTATACAGAAGAATTGATTTACATTGATAGTAATATTGCAGACTTCAGAATTCGAATCCTTTAATAACTGAGTTATTGCGTTATGATGCTTGGACAGATAACTTCGCTTTTTAACTGTTGATTCACATTCATACTGCACCGGAGCTGTTATAAAAAGAATCTCTGCAGCATTACATCTAATGAAAGAGCCAGGTGCCTGTAATAATTTTAGTCAATAGTAAGAAAAGTTGCATTCCTGCACATGTGTCTTTGCATTTCCTTGAATTACCTTCAAATGTTGCCAAAGTAAAGATGCACATTCGTTGTGAACCATGAGTCTCGATGCGGAACTTTCGTTATCGTGCAGAGCAGTAAGAAATGAAAACAGGTTTTCACCAAGAATTCCTTTTCCTTTAGTATCTCTATGTGCTCTAAAGCAGTGATAAACAATGTCCCGTATACAATTTTCTTGTATAAACTGCTGTACCTTCTCTGTTCCACTTAGCCATGCTTTTGCATATAAAGCTGCATATGCATCAATGGCTAATTTTGTGTTAGAGTGTTGCAACATTACTTTTATATTATCATGAATTCTCTGGAACAATGATGTACGTTCAAGGCTGTCTTTTAATAAAAAGCTGTTTAAGTTACTATAATTTATACCAATATGTATCCATCTCCAAGTGTGAACAAGTGCAGCAACAGCAACTGGCCTTCATGAAGTGACATCACAGTTTTTTCTCGAACAAGTGTAAGTAACTCTTCTATGTTCTCTGTACATCTTAACAGTGCTATAGCAGATCTTATGGAATATAGACGTTTTACATGTTGCTAAAAATGCATAATCAATGAGTAACACTTAAATAGATTTATGTATTCATTACATATATAATTACCAATGAGAATCTGCTTTTCCGAATGAGGTACATTATTGCATTTAATATCATTTTTTCTTTCCATATCAAGTCTAACTGCCACCAGTTTTCTAATAAATATGATATTTCGTTTTCGGTCTGAAAATATTAATTTCAAATGAATCGAACAATTAAATGTTAGAGAAACAGATATGTAGTAATTAGATACCTGGTCATGACATATGTTGGGTAATATAGTAGAGTGCAACAGCAACATGCTTTGTAACAGAATATTAGATACAAATGACCTTTGCACAATTGTTTCGAGGGCCAAGGAAGTTATCGTTCGCACCAACATAAGATTACTCGCCTGAGATTTTTATGCTTTATATAATAAATGGAGACATTCATATTTGCGTACATAAAAATTATATGAATCATCTTACTCTCTCACTATTTTTTCGTCTACTTTCTTCACATGATGTGTTTGTGTAAAATTTGCGAATGTCTACCAATATATCATTCACGTGTTTCCATAGCTCACGAAGTTCATCTTCCGTTAAAAGAACAACGTTTTTCACATTGTCACCCTAAAACAACAATATTATTTGCAGAAACACTGGAAACTTGTGTATTGAAAGAACATGATACTCCAAGATTATCACAAAACCTGATTTGATAAGTATGAAAAACATGTTTAAATATTAATTTGTTGTTATAATACTGTAAAAAAATAATGTTTTTGTAGGTACCAGTTTCTTGCATAGGCTGTCGGCGTTCGGACCTTGAGTCCTTAACAACCGATAAAAAAGCCTGTCCCTTACTGATGCTCTCGTTCGTAACATTTTCCGAGGATACTTTCACGAATTCAGTATTCACAATTAAACGTGAATTCTTCTTTCTTGTATGACAAACTATAAATAAAAGACGATATTTATATACATATATATATTGAAACATTTCAAGTTAGCTTCGGTTATAAAAAAGATCGTAAAGTACAGCAACATCGACATACTAAAGTTCTGAAGACAGAATAAATCAAATTAGTGCTGTAAATTCTACACCAAAACGATTATATAGACAGTCTTTAAAGATTAATAGACAAATAAACAATAATATAATGTGATCAGTAACCAACATAAATTATTTCTTAAGTAACTATCGTCTTTGTTAGAAAATTTGAGTATGAATTTAAATTAAGGATTCTGTTGTGATATAATAATTATGAAAGCGCGGGCTGACAAGAATGGCCAGAAATAATGACGATTTCAGTAAATCACATTTGTATTACACATAGACATAAAAATAAATGCAGTAACAAATTACACTCTTCAAGATAATTATTACAGAGCTCGATATTTTTCATAATTAGGAAAAGAGACAAAGTGAAAAAAAAATCTAACAAACCAAATTTCTGCACATGCATTTAGGAGTCCATTCAGATAAACGTGCACATATGAAAGCGTGAACTTACAAGAATGGCAAGAACTGAAGATGATTCTCTGACAATTTCATTTTACGCAATAAACAGTAACATTTACATATGCTATGAATATAAAATTAATTGTCATAAACAGTTACACCTTTCAAGATAATTTAGTCCATTAGATGAGCACTATTTCTCGCTTTTATTTACTGCATTATGAAAGTTGCCGTAGTGAAAAGCAAGCGGGGGTCTCGCTTGCTTTCCATTTTATTGTTATTAATTTCATTTTACCTAATATAACATTATGAACATTGTGAATATAAAAAGAAACATACTGAAGAACACGTTCTAAGGTTAATTTATTCCAAGATTCACAAGATTTTTTACTTTCATTTAGTACTTTATGAGAGAACTATTATATGTATAATGATAAACAGAAGAAAACTCAAAAATGACATAGCTCACCTAACCACCGGTTTTGCATTTTACTCGGACCATGCGCTACCATGCGCAGTCACTTTTTCCGACAGTTTACGTTCACACTTTCATACTTACTGCACTTAGGACAGTGGGACAGAGCTTAACGTATAGCATTCGCAATCAATGGGTAAAACTCTAGTGTGCGTGAGCGATAAAATATAAATAATCTAACCTGTACTGTTCGCCTATTTATTTAGTTTCAAACTTAATACTTACATGTTATTCATTGGAACTCACAATGTTACGAATGTTAAAAGCTATTAGACTTGTACTTAATGTCAGTAATTTGACTACAATCAAGAACAAGAATAATGTTAGTCAGTCTATAAAAAATAATTTTGTGCAATGTCGTACCATGTATACTGGTACGAGCTCTACAGATGACTTTGCAACGAACTGTGAGAAACCAAAGAAACGAAAGACTGTGGAAGTTCCCAAGATTACACTTTTGAATCAGGATGAATCTATGAGAATCGTTTTCTTAGAAGAAGCGATAAAAATTGCTAAGCGGCAGAATCTTCATTTAGTACATACTGGCGAAGACCCCAAGAGTGGTAGAAGTATTTATAAGCTTTTCGATTATCATGAGATATTAACGCAAGAAAAGGAGATTGTGAACCTAAATGTCGAGGAACAGAAATTCAAGCATACTAAAATGTTTAATTTAAAATCAAAAATCGAAGAACATGATTTAGGAGTAAAAATGGCTCATATGAATAAACTGTTGAAGAAAAATCATGTAGTCAAAGTGCTTGTTAATCACCCTACCGAAGGCAATGTAAGTAAAGCAATCAGTTCTAAACAATATTTATACCTTCATATTCAGTATTTCGATTATTAAAGATATTGTTTGTCGCCTATTACGTTGGCTTCAAAGAATAAACAGGTACTATTACTTTTGCAGGTGGAAACAGTAAACATACTCAAGAAAAATATATTAGGAACTGTGTCAAAAGAGGTATCAAAAAAAGGTACAACTATACTTGTATTTTCTCCTTCTTCGAATGAAAAAACACGCTAGTTAGACTAATACATTCTTCTGTGCGGGCAATCAAAGCGATGTACTAGTTTGCATCTTTTGATGTAAGTTAATACAATGCAATAGTAATCAACTACATGTTTGACAATGTCATATTTATTTTCAACATCTCACACGTTTATTGAAACATTAAAATAAGAGTGTTCTACGTAAATAAGATGATTCCCTTCAACAAACCATTTAAAAATGAGTCTTTAGATTGTACATAACTATCATTCAGCTATTCAATGAATATAAAAGAAATATACGCTTATAACAGATTTTATTACTAATATATTTATATTGAAAGGTAATAAAATTTCGAACCCTTTCTTATCGAATTGTGTACAGCATCATTATTGTCAGATACAAGTGAATGGAGTAATTATAATAAGTAACAAGTAAAGATCTTATTATCTAGCGATATGTGATATATATACTATCATCCAAAAGGCATTAACGGTATTCAAATGAAAAAAACATTAATCTGTAATCTGTATGCATGTGCATATTGTCGAAGTAGTAAATGTATAGCTCTTATGTAATGATTTAAAAATGATTTATTGGAGCATTTGTGTACGATATTCTAACGATTTCCTATATCTTAAGAAACAACCGAGTTGATATATGTATAAGAGTATTAGATTGCTTTTGGATAATTGTATATAAAAATCGATAATATATTTCTTTTACAATAATTTTTCTTTAATAAATACTAATTGAAATATTTGGTCTTACTGAGATCTCTATTTCCTTATACCTTATTTTATAAATGCCATAAATATATTTCATTTATATGTTTACAATAATAGTCATACACATAAATATATATTGTTCGAATAA